GGCTTCTTTACTCCCAGCCTGCAAAGATGGTGATCTTGTCTGTACAGGAGGCGCAGAAAAGGGATTTGCTTTCTTTTAACGTCTGGGGAGCGAGGAATGATTTAGACCTTTCTGCTCAAATTCGGTATCTAGCATCTTCTCGGAGAGCTTGTCCAGCCTGGGAGAGGGCAGACTGTCCGGTCCCTTAGGACCAGACCCGGAGCTCGACCTGGCCCCCGGCGGTCTGTACCCGGGATGTCCGAGGTGTCACTGGAAAGGGACCGAGGGTCCCACTCAGCCTGCGGGTGGGATTATTTTGGGTGTTTGTGGGGGAGGCCCATCGGTCCGGGCGGGTGGCACAACAAGGACCTCCATTGCCCGGCCGGGACGGAAAAAGGGGTACGAAGGTCTCGGTGTGAAGCGACCGGCTCCCGGTGCTCCTCACTTCCTAGGTTCAGCTCCTGCTGAGAAACTGCACTAGAGAACAGGACCCTTCCCCCCTCCCCAACCCCCCGAAAAAAAAGCCAGCCCCACCGCAGCACATAGATGGGCTCATCCCTCTGGGCTGAGCTCCGAGGAGAGACCTCAGCAAAGTTGTGGGGAGCCCCTCGACGCCTCTTCCTCTCCCCCTGAGAGAGCCGTCTCTCAGCAGCTGCCTAGTCTGCCTCCATATATTTCTGTTGTTTTTTGTTTGCGTTTTCTTTTCACAGGTCTGGTTCCAGAATAGGAGAGCAAAGTGTCGAAAGCAGGAAAACCAGATGCACAAAGGTGGGTCGGGGCAGCGGGCCGCAGGGAGGGGATGGCCAAGGAGCCCCGGGCGCCTTCGTCGCTCATCAGTCCCCGTCTCTCTCCGCAGGTGTGATCTTGGGAACCGCCAGCCATCTAGACGCCTGCAGAGTGGCCCCCTACGTGAATATGGGAGCCCTAAGGATGCCTTTCCAACAGGTAGTGAGCTCCGGGTTTATTTTTCTTTTCCCCGGCAAGTTCCGACCCTCTTTCCTTCGCACGGGAGGAAGCCGGACACGTTTGCAAGGGCCATTTATATACAAGTTGGCACGTATTAAACTCGGGCTGTAAGGCTTCGTGAAGGAGCGCTCGCCCGCCCGCCTGTCGGGAGCTCAGCGCCCCTCGGGCCCGGCGACGGGGACAGGGGGCACGGCTCTGGGAGGTGCCACCCGTGCTAAGTCCTCCTCTCCCGCGGCCGCCTGCCGTGGGCTGGCACTCAGCCCTGGGGCCTCCCAGGGTAGGGGAGTACCGGGGGACCCCGTGGGGACGGATTGGCCTGGTCCTGAACCGTCCAGGGTGGGCTTCGGCGCCAGAGCGGGCTGTGGGAGTTAGGTCTCCCACTCGAGGGGCGAAGAGCACAAACCGTGCAGACCCTGGTGTTGCCGCTCTCCCCCTCCTTCTCCGGCGAGCTGCCGAGGCCTCTCCCGACTGCAGCGGCGCCGCTACGGGGCCCGGGCACCCCTGGGGGAGGCCGCTGGGGGAAAACCGGACGAGGGGGTGAAATTCCGCCCCGCTTCCAGCCACCGCTTATATCCCTCCCTCTTCTTTTTTTTCTTCTTTTTTTTTTTTTTTTGTCAATTAATCGAGGAATCGATTTTTCCAGCCCAAAGGGACCCCCGACCACCTTCTCGGTTTCAAAGACACGTGGAGCTGACAGATTAATTGTATTGATTTTTTTTAAGACATATTTGGACCAAAATAATTAAATACATAAATAAATCCCCCCCTCCGCTTTTCCCCCCCCACAACTCCTCCCCGAACCTACCCGGAGCTGAAATCTCTCAGTCAACCCCACGTGTTTGTGTAGGTCGAGCAAGCTCCAAAGCAAATACCACCCCGCTGTACAGGGGACCCGTGGCCAAAGAGTTTTTAGCAAGGTATAAACAAACATCCCTGAAAAAAACACATAATTCATATATTTATATACATATATATTTATATACATATATATTAGCTATTATATATATTAGCTATTTAGCTTTTATAGATATATAATTTAGGTATTATATATATTGGCTATTTGGCTTATATATATATATATAGCTATTTAGCACTTATTGGCGCCAGTGCGTTGGGCGGTATTTAACATATATATGTTAAGTTTATTTTACTTTTCACACGTGCGGAGGATTAGGTGCGTCTCCGCGCCCCGCGTTCAGGGGTTTGCGGGGGGGCTGCGCTGACCGGTGGCTCCGGGGAGGGCCGTGGCACAGTGTGCTTGTGTCGGTGCTGTCCAATTCGGGTGCCGCGGCGGTGGCTGACGCCGTGTCTCTGCCGCCGCTCCCCGGCCCCCTTCCTCCCTCCCTCCCTCCCCACGCAGGTCCAGGCCCAGCTGCAGCTGGAGGGCGTCGCCCACGCGCACCCGCACCTGCACCCGCACCTGGCGGCCCACGCTCCCTACCTGATGTTCCCGCCGCCGCCGTTCGGGCTGCCCATCGCCTCGCTGGCGGAGTCCGCTTCCGCCGCCGCCGTGGTGGCCGCCGCCGCCAAGAGCAACAGCAAGAACTCCAGCATCGCCGACCTGCGGCTGAAGGCCCGGAAGCACGCCGAGGCCCTGGGGCTCTGACACGCTTCACACCAGACCCCCCCTGTGCCATACCACACCATATCCCCACCTCACCCCGGGGCGGGCGGGCGTGTGTGTGACCCGTACGGACCGCCGGTCTGACCCCGCTCATCCTCCTCTTCCTCCTCCCCGGGCCGCCCTGCCGCCTTTGTGTTATTATTTTGTTTGTTTTTATTCCTTTCCCCTTTCCCAAGGTCTGCGAGCGCTCGGCGGCAGCCACCCGTCACCTCACACCTTCCCCCCCCCCCCCCCCCCCCCCCTTCCTCCGCTTTCCTCGCCCTCCTCCCGCTCCCCAGCCCCAAAGGGGACTTGTCGGCCCGGGGCGAACCGGGCGAAGAAGGGAGGCCCCGGCGGCCGTTGGAAGCCGTTGGCGGCCGTTGACGCTCAGCGCGCGCTAGCGTGTGGCGGCGCGGCTGGGGACTCGCACCCACGAGTCAGAGACTCCGCCGAGGATAAAGTAGGTGTGAGGAGAGAAAAGAGAGAGAAAAGAGAGTTAAAAAAATCACCCCAAAAGGGAAAAAAACTGCAAAAAACAAACCCCAAACCCCCCAAAAGGAAAGGAAACGATCTCTAAATTATGTTAATCTGTGAACACTGGGGACACTTTGGAATTCTTTTTTGACCCTGGCAAAAGTGATCGCTCCAGCATAAACGTCACCTGCTGCTGTCAGTTTTGCTACTACCTTGTGCATGTGTCAAACGAAACACGTTTTGAAGATCAGAAATATATTAGAACTAAGCTAAACAACAGAAAAAAACCCAAACCAACAAATAGTAATAATAATAAATAATAAATCCTTGGGGCTGGTCTCCATTAAAGATGACATTTCTTTGTTGCCAACAGTATTATTTCACTGCCATGAATCTCTTCCATCACTGAGGAGCTGCTGCAGCAGAACTGGTTTGAATTTAAATGTGGAATTTCAGATCTGAGGCAAGGCAGGTTTTTTTATTTTTTTTTACATTTTTCTTTTCTTTCCTTTCCTTAAAAAAAAAAAAAGGAAAAGCAGCAATAACAATAAATGTGCATCTCAAATGGCTATGTCCTTTGAAAGGAGGAAAAGAATTTGCTAATTGTTAGTGGTCACTTGAAAGATGGGAATAATAAGAAATGCACCTGTTTTGCCAGAATCATCAGAACTCGATGAGCTGCGTTGTGTCATAGAAACAGGTCAAGTTTTCAATTTGTTATTTTCATTCTTTTCTTTTCCAAAATGTCTGGGTCTTTCAATCAAAATCTCTGTTTTTACAGGACGTAGAAAGAATGACTTGTACAACAAAGATGGACATATGATTTTAAGGCATAATACTGATGCAGCGTTAATTTTAGTGAAATGCAAATAAGTGCAGTAAAGTGCAATACTGTAAATATTATAGATTAAAAAAAAAATAAATAGCCGTACTTATTCTGTTAAAAACCAATTCCGCAAGAACCATGAATTAAGTCCTTTATGCTCAGACTGGTGCTTTGCAGCTCCTTGCCAAAACGACGGTCCGAGTCTTCTATGAATGGATAAAGTTATATGTATCGCATATGGGAAGAGGTAGATGCCATGATTTCTAGTCGAGTTAATGTGCCATGTTTCTGGGAAGTAAACTGAAGAGTCTGTATGACACTTTCACAATCAGTTTAAGTAAAAAAAATCCAAACCAGAACTAAAGAAACAACCTGCAAAAGTGTTTTGTAGAGTTGGACAAGTTCAATATCTGGGCATTTTAATTTTTGCCTGTGGTTTAGACCCCAAGTCTTAAGCTAATGCTTAAGAAAAGTAACTACCACAAATCCAGAAAGCATGGGGAGTAGGGAAATCCTTTAAATTACATTACCAAAGTGTCTGGGTTTACTGACCCCCCCATGTTTTGCTTTCCATGGTATTAGCTTCAAATTAGTTTATTATATGTTTTCTGTCTTAATGTTTGGTGGGAATAAGGCAGTGCAAATATTGGTCTTGTCTACATCTAACAGGATAGCTACTTGTTGCTTTTGTTACCAAGGCCTGTGCTGATGGAAGGTTATCTATAATACTGCTGTTAAGCCTGCTTTTTATGTCTCATTTAGCAATCCATTAATAGTTTTGGCTTCTGCTGATATTTATCAAATCCAAATATTACTGTAGGACAAAAATCCATCCTGTAGAAAAATTTTAGACACTTGTCTTCTTTTGTTGTTTCTCCTTCAAGTTTTAGTATTTTCTAGCAAGCATGATTTCTGGAATGTCAAAGTTGGGCCATTTCCCTTTTATTTATTACGTAAGAAGTATGTATATTTTGGATTTGCTAGAGCTGATAAATGTTACCTGCCTTTTCTACCTCTCTGTGAAAGCCCAGTACCTTTTTAAAGCAAGGCCAAAACATTAAGGTAGCATTACTTGTTGCTGAGAAATACAGACAAAGATCTCAGCAATTTACAATTTGTCATTGAGACAAAATAAGATAATATTATTAGAAAGTAAAATGTTATTCATGGTGATGAATGAATTTCTGGCTAAACTAAGAAACATTTGGAGTGGCTCCAGCACTTTTAACACGCAGATCTGAAAAATAATAAACATTACTACAGAGATGCTTTAGGCTGTAGCAAGTAACCTGTTGTACTGGATACCAGCAGCCATCGAAGGAGAATTTGATACACACTGTTGAAAAATGGAGGCATAAAACTGTTGCCTGAGTGGAGAGTCCTTGATATGTGTACCTCTGATCTAATTGTTATCCTTTCAAATCGTCTTTTGAGAATTTAAGGGAGGCTTATGTGATTTTTTTTTTCTCAGTCCTGTGCTGGACTTTCACAAAGGAGTGATTTTCACCCTCAATTCCACAGAACGAGCTTGTTGGAGTTGTGGGTTTAGGATGTGAATTTTCTTAGACATCTTCTGAGGGAGGCCGTGAAGTGCTATAGATCTTACAGTTGTGTTACAGGATGCATGTACAGTATGAATCTGCCTCAAATTGGAAGGAATGACTTTTCCACCTTTGCTGTTTTACTAGGTACGAACACAGCAAAAGTGCTTGTAGGTTTCTGTCAGACATTTTGCTACGTACAGCTTCTTTCTTGTATTCAAAAACCAGTGGTAACTTAAACACAGTTCACTGCTAACACGAAACAAGGCTGGTAGTATAACATACATCTCTTCAGAATGAAGAATTCTTACAGTTTCTTCTGATTGCTTTCAATGAATGTCTCGAGGACAGTCTTGCCCTCTACTGCAGAAGGGAAGACGGTGGCAAGGTTTGTCAGTTTAGCCTGTTTTGAGGAAAGGACTATAGATCAGCCTGGGGAAAGGGGCGGGGTGTTGCTGTGAATCTACCAAGTCACTTCGTGATGCTCTTGCATTCCATTTATCATGAAAGGAAATAGTGCACTGTGCAAGGCTTGTAGCTGAAACTGGTTCTGCTTTGCTTATTTCTCAATGGGTGAATTGCATCAGTGGTGGTATAAAAGCTTTGTCTTGTTTTGGATGATGCACGCAGGTGGCCTCCTTGTCATCCTTAACATCTCTTGAAAGAAAAGGAGTCCTACCTGGGCTACCACGGACTGTATGTGTCCCGAAGTGTAAGTCCCTGTGGCTCCGTTCACTGTGTGGAGCTCCAGGGACCCATTCAAGTTGAGAATCCGGACCAAAGCATCTGCTGCATTTCTGTTAGTGTGGTCTTTGTTTTTGTTTTGTTTTGTTTGCATTTACTTAATTATTTTTCTTGAGGAGGTTGGAGGTTGAAGATGAGATAGTCAAGGTCCTAAGATACTTATTAAAGCTTAAAAGTATTGTAATTGTGTTAGATTCTCAGGCATGACAAACCTCTTTTTTTTTTTTTTTATTTATTTATTTGTCCACCATCATATAGCCTGATGCAATCTTTCATTTGAGAAGTGTGAGATTTCCAAGATCACCAGAACAGTGGCCCCTGGGCAGAATTCCCTTGGAGGAGGCCTTCAGTTAGTGTATGTGGATTGCTAAAGAATCTTCCTCAAAAGTATGGTTTGGTATTTGAAAAATAACTTGAATGAATGACAATTGAATAATGCTGTTTATAAACAAATCCATAAAAAAAAAAAATAAGCTTTATGCATGACATGGGCCCCTTTATAGTGGAAAAATAGTCTCTAATTTTTTTTTGAACTGTCAAATAAACTGAAATACTTCATCCATTTGTATCAAAATAGCAAGCTGATTCCACGGCTCATTTTTATTGACCTGGAAACGTAAAAAAAATTGTACTGGAAATTTTTTTTTTTGCTTAGTAGGGTCCTATAGATGTAGTGACATTTTGGTTAATATCATAATACTTAGCACTTATATAATGTTTATTTGCAAAGCACTGTATTATAAACGTTTATTATTTAGCTCTCACCCATTATGAAGTAGGTAAGAATTATTATCCCCAGTTTTGTAGAAACTAAGGCATATAAATTATGGACCAGGCTCCATCACCCATTGTCAAAACTGAGTATTATTACTTTTGGTTTTGTAATGTAGTAGCATACCCCAGATCATAATCTGACATGAATTTGCGGTGCTAGACACCTTTCAGAATTGGAGCAGAGGCCCTGCTCCAATAAATTTAAGCTCCATACCTTGTTTCAGCAAAAGTCTTAAAGGGAGCATTAAATGTGTTTGAGAGTGGCAGAATGTGTCTGTGAGTTATTTCCACAGAACACAAAGTTACTGCCCAGTCCTCTGACCCATATGCCACTGGGAATTTGCTTTATGGTGCAGTGGGGCTGAGCTGCAGTACTGCTAAGACTAGAACCAAAAATCTGAGTTCCCAAGAGCATGCATGAATTGCTGGAAAACCCTGGTTTGCAACTTCCCCTATTATAAATTTATCACACAGCCCAAGTGCGCTGATGTCAATTCTTTGCATGCTCTATCTGCTATATCTTTTAGTCATGTGTTTGCCTGTAAAATAAGAATAACACATGGCCTTGAATTGACATAACGTTGATGCATTGTTGCCTCAAAGACAATAGACATATAGACCTATGGAAATCAGATCCCTAAGGCAAACCCAGATTATGATTTTTTTTCCTTTTTTTGTGACAAAACGCACACGTTTTCTGCTCTTTTAAATGTGCTAGGCAAAATAAATTGTTTCTCTTTTTTTTAAAGCATATAATTTTAGGTTTTAAAGACATTATTGCTTTGGAGGTGGCAGGCTTTTCCCCTCTTCATTTTGAGGAAGATTTTCAAAGTATAGGAAAAAGATTACACATCTGTCTTAGAAGTCTGTTTAGTTTTACATCTAATATCTAGTGATCCAACTGGTGTCCTTGTAGTTACTCATTCTTTACAACTCTCTAAAGTGTGTGCAACCACTATGGTTGCAAATTTTTTGCGCTCCTGGTTAGAAAGGATGGTCAAAGTGCCCCACTCTTCACCTGTAAGCAGCCTACTGACCCCACAATGTTGTTTTCTTTCCCCAGTGTGACAGAATTCCCGTGGCTAGCAAGTTTCCAAACAGCTGTGGCTAATATGGCAAGAGCTTGCTATTCTCTCCTGGTTTCAGTAAGATGTGGTAGGGCCAGAGAAGGTCTGATACTGCTTGAAAATGTATAAGAAAAAAAAAACCCAACCCAAAATGCAGTGTGCTACAGAGTGTGATCTCCTCTCCTTAAGAACAGAGCCTTCTGCTTTATGACCCATGCTTTTTGTGAAACTGCATCTCTTAGTCATATCTTGAAAAGGTGCAGCATGGATCCCATCAATGTAACCCAGAGGCTAATATTATACTGGTTATTTTTCTTGGCCTTTCTAGTCAGATCAGTGGAAGGCCATAGACTTTGGTGTTTGAGGCATTCTTCAAAAGGGGATGTGATACCGGATACCCCTCAAATTTTGTTTGTCTGTTAGACAGATTTGATGCTAAAAAGTTGGTGCCTAATTTTAGTAAATCGGCCTAGAAACTTTTTGATTTCTGATAAATAATTGAAACTTGATGCAGTTGATACAGCTTATGTTGAAATTTGATATTTAACTAAAATCAGTTAAAGAATGTAGAAAATATCAGATTTTGAAGCTGAAGATATTTATTGAAAGGCAACATTTTCATGAATCTAGGCTTATGGTATGTATTAATTACATCAAAGACAGGCAAATATCTCTGTTTCTTTGTATTAATGTATGTGGATGTTTTATTTATTTTTTTTGTTTGAAAATTTCTAAAAGTGTATTATTTTAATTATGTTGAGTGTAAATTTGACAATGCTTTGCATTTATTTTTATTTTTTTAAAACCTGTTGCTTTTGTAAACCTATGAGCAGCCAGTATGATTTGCAGTACCATTGCATTATTTTGGTTATGTACACCTGAGTTTCCAGACATTTCAGGGATTACTAAAGTGAAAAAAAATGATCTCCAAAATCAACTTGGCTTAAAAGTTTGTAGCCCTTTGATATTGTGGAAGAGAAAAACAAGCAAATAACTTTTTTCTTTAGGTTTCAGTTATGCCAGCATGCTCCTACATGAATTCACCAGACATGCTGAGTTCCAGTTTCAGAGTGTATTATGTTGAATTACATGATATGAATTTACATCTTGTAAAAGTGAGATATGAATAAACTTATAAATATTTGTAATCACGTGTTAACGGATACCCCCAATAACTACTACCAAAGGGACTATTAACAAGGCATCTTCCCCCTGTTAAAATAGAGCTTTTTCTTCTGTACTTAATGCTTTTTCTTTTTTTAAGCACCTTATATGCTTTCTCCTTCCAAGGAATGAATGCAGTGCATCTTACTCTGAAGCTATGCCACTTACAGATCTGTCTTTGGTTTCTGTGTAAGTTTTACAGAACAAGTTATAGCTTCTTATTAACCAGAAGCTACTTTTGCATCCCATCTATCAGTATATATATATGTATACATATATATATATTGTTTGTTTGTTTGTTTTTGTTTGTTTGGTATCCTATTATATTTTTAAAGGATTGATAATTTTTTCTTAGTGTCAGGAGAAATAAAGGAGTCCTCATAGCGGACCATTCTAAGAATTGTACTTGATGACCCCAATCTATTGTCTGTTCAAATCAATAGGAGAGGCACTAGATCAGGCTTTTATTTTCAGGTGATTAAGGAGTTTTTCCCATGTCCCTGTTTGTTGGCACATTAGATGTAATTGTCTCATGTAGTTTTATTCTTTCTAGTTGTAATCCAGCATTCTGATGTTGAAAAGGATACCCAGGGAATCCTCATGTTCCCGTGCACCATGTTGTTTCATTGATAGCACCAAAGCAAACTGGGTTGGTGGAAGTCTTTCTGCTAGCTTACAGTTTGTGCAGCAGGTCCTAAACCTCTGAACTAGTCACAGCTGTTAGGTTAGGCTTGTCTTGTTTGAAAGCCAGTTTGTCCAACACATATGTAGCATTCAAACTTCATTAGCATTACAAGATGGGTAGCTCCATATCCCAGCCCTTCCCCCAAGTCCTCCCAGCATGTCTTTTTTCTTTCTTGTCTGCAGTTGGCTGTATAAGCTGTCTAAGCTGAACTCAAAAACTGTTCGTAGCTTTTCTACCCTTGCATTTTCTGCAAGTATTTACGTCTATTGGGGCTCTGACCTGGAACATAGCTGGAAAGCATTTGGTACAATATTCCCACATCATGGTTACTGTTTCTCTCTAAACCAACACCACAAGCTGACATCCTGTTTTTCCTGTCATAAGCTATGTAAGAGACAGGCTATTATAAGAAAATTAATCCTTCCTTTCTTTCTGTCTCTTAAAGATATGTGGGCAATGAATGGTTGTCAGTATCATGTACTGTAAGAGCAATCAGAAAAAATATAAAGTGTGTGCTGAAAGCTTAGTTTCACCAGAAGACCATCTAATAGCAATTTTTAAATAAATATGTTTTAACACTGATTTTTTGTCTATTCATATTCAGTTCAGATGTTGAAAAGAGAGATAAGTTCTTTTGGCAATTTTGGTTGTTCAGAAGAGGGTTTTTCCCCCTCTTCATTTTTCTTAATTAACATGTTTTTCCAATGGCTACTTGTTCTCTTGATTTTTGAAATCATTAACAATTCTGAGAGAGGTTTTCTCTCTTTTGTCTTTGGGTATATTTTTATTCTTTTTTGCATGAAAATTTATTTTTAATTCCTTCAAAATTACACTTTGACCCTATTGCCATCAGCATTTTTGGCTGCTGAACTGTCTCTAGTTCTCTCTGTAGGATCTGAATTGAATTGGATAAGAATAAACACAATAATACCTTCCTTATGAATTGTCAGTAAATTTTTTATTTCTTTCCTGAGTAACTTCTCTCTTAGACTGCTATTTTTTGATCTGCAAACATGTGAAAAGAAAATCATAAGGTGCTACACAGGAAACAGAACTGAGTACCTGCTCGTGTGAATACCTGTGAACTGTGGAAATTTTACCAGTAATGTGTGGTTCAGTTCTATGTTGCTTGCATATCCAAAAGTTCAGTTAAAGTTGGACAGAGGTCTGTATACTCAAGTCTGCAGAAGTGACCACAGAAAGACAGATTTGCGTTCAAGGACCACATGCAAATGACTAGAGATTGGACAACAGAACAAAAGGAATTGTATGTGTAATTTCATTTCCCCAAATCAAATACTCAGACTTCATTACCAATATGATTAAGGGTAGTGATCCTACTCTTATGTTTAATTGCTGGTTTATAATTGCTACCAAGAGGCTATAAAACTACAGGGTCAGAAAGCTGTATCCAAAAAATGCCTCACTCTAAAGTTAGACTTCAGAGAAATTTAAGCACTTATTTCCAAAAACCATAACACAGGGCTCTTGGCCACTTCTCAAACTCTACTGAAGCCTGAGAGCTGCAGGTCCCCTAGTTCCACACATTAAATTTCTCCATGAGGCTCATGTTCTACTTTTGTGGGTGCCTGGAACCTGACAGGTCTCTGTGGCTGGGTGGCTTGCTCTCTTTAGCCTGAGTGAGTTACAAAAACCAGGCATCTGTTTCATCTTCAGATGTTTACAATCAGAAGTCTACATCACAACTTGTCAGTGGAAGCAAGGAGGCACTTTTAGGAGGTACACCTCTAGTGAGTATATTAAGGTTTGTCTTAGAACCAGACTAGCTCAAATGTAGCCATCTTCTCAGTAGACAGACGTCCAATTCCATGGCAAGTATCTTCCATGTTCCTCCTTCTTGTGTCCTTCGCTGCCTTAATGACAGCAGTTCCATTACTTTGTTTTCTTCAGAGGGGGGAGATTTCTGTTTACATGATAACTCAGTGACTAGTAGATTCACAGAGAACTCTACAGTTTGGGTTTCCCTGTCTTCCTTTGTCTGAATAGATGGAGTAGCTGAAAAGGTAGAGCTCCTGGTCCTGGGGATATAGTTTGCAGAATGTGCTAGACATGGACCTCTTGGATTGGGTTGACTGTAGCTGAATACACTTTGATAGCATAGCAGGCAGATGACATTTCTGCTATGATTTCTGTTCTAACTGGTTTCCCTACTGTGTTTTCTGATATTATAGTCAACTAAAGTGCAAATTGGTTTTCTACAGATTCCTGGGAAAAAGAATCATCTTAGTGTTTTCCCTAGGTGGGGCTTAATGCAATAGTATTTGAATATTTCCTAAATATATCAGCTTTGCACAGCAAATATTCCAATTTTTCTCTCTTCCTGGTTGCAAAAGGAGCTATATAGGTGTACATATACATTTAAACACTAATAAACAAATCCCTCAAAAATTGACAGAATTTAAATTGCCACATACATAACCTTAGGGTTTTTAATGAAGCAATCTCATATGATTCCATCTTACATTATCACATACATTCTTACCACAGGACCTCTGTCTAAGTTTCTGTGTGAGGTAAACCATGCTGGAGGAACAAATTTGGACTATGAAGAGAATGAAGCCATTTTCTAAGAATATTCTTCACCTGCACAAGATACCGGTAGGTGTCTTTATGTAGGCAATGAGGGGAAAACATGGCTTCATCATTAGCACAGTAAATGATTATGTAGGAGAAGCAGATCTAGCCCACTACTGACTTTCAAGATGATACATTGAAAGTGGTAAGGCATATCCAGGATATCACCAACTGTGTGCTTTTTGTTTTCTGGGGGTTAAAGTCACAAGACCAGGAGCTGATGCACAGAAATGCTCAGTGTTAATTGTCACAAGTTTAATTGACACAAGCTATGTAGGTTTGGGACTTGGAGGAAGCAGATCACATTACATAGTGATGTAGATTCATGCAATATGCCACTGACTTACAGTCTTACATTCAGCGGGTCATTGTGTCTTTCTGCTTCAGTCTATAAAATGGGTTTAATGACACTCTCCTAATGTGTACGTAGGAATGTCACTCCTAGTGTGTACACAGAGGGACTATGACCATAAATTCATTAATCTTTATAGTACACTGATACACTAGATTTGCATGCATCAGCACAAAACCCATGAGGCAACAAGTAACTGTATTCAATGCAATGTTCAGAGGATGTGCAGTAAATAAAGCATGAGGATAAAGCGAAATATTGAGCAGCCGCTTTATTTACTGAACACTGTGCACTGAATAAAGCTGGGGTCTTGTGTAAAAAAAAACCCAACCAAACAAAACTCAATTTTATGGACATTGAAGCCCTCTGATATTAGGGGTGGTTGAGGGAAAAGAGTTTAGGGGGCTCTTCTTATTAGGGATCAGTAAGAAGCAGGTTTTCAGCCCACATAACCTTTCAGTGCAGTGTGGGTCTTAGTAGTAGAGGAATGCACACAGATATTAACTGCAGCCAACAGTCTGTGCCTTCATCTTAGGCCAAATGATATTTTGAATTGGGAAAAACAGTCCCAGTCCCCTTTTGTTTTCATCCTATCCAGATGTATCCTATTGCACCCCATATATTGTGTTCTCCATCATCACTTTTGATCCTGTGCTGGTGTTGCTGGATATATAACTGTTCAGACTGTAGAAAGCTCAAGGCTGCAAGCAGAGTCTAAGCTGGCTCAAACCAAGGGAAACAGCTGGGAGATGCAGAAGCTGGCCAAATCTGAAGTAGTTTCATTAGGATGTGCACAAGCTCTAACCTGGCATTAGAGGGTGAGATGAAAGTTTTATCACTGGCTGAAAAATGAGGTCTTTCTTCAAGGACTTATTTAATTTAGTTTATATAATTTTTGCCTAGATCTATGAACATGTATGTGAATATTTGTGGATGAACTGAATTTTCTGTGTATCAGGGCTGTAGGCCTATTGGTCATGACAAAAATTTTGCAGGTGGTGCCAGCTGTTATTAACAGAGAGATTGCTACTGATTCTCCTGTAGTTACTAACTTTGCTATAAAGGGAAAGCTGTAGTGTTGATAAAATGCTGAACCACTTCTCAGTGTGGTAGAATTAGGACAGAGTCTGATTTCCTGGGAGTGTTTATTTCTGGGCCTCATGTATTTTTTCTTTAGTGTTTGAGACTTGCACTCTTACAGGTACACAGCTTTTGTTGACTAGTGGTAGGCAGAGATATATTTCTAATATAAGTAGGTGCCCATGGCTTTGGAAAGTCCAGCTTGGGGTTGTCATGGAAGCCAGGGTTTGAACTAGGAGGTTGTGCTCTGGGAGCCCTTCTGCTTATCAGAGCGGCATTATTCATATATAAATGCATTGGAACTGTTTGTCCCTTCATCCGTCTTGCTAATGGATTGGATATGGAGCATTTGGAAATGTTCCATTTGGAAATAAAGAATGTCTAGTCCTTGAATGGTGTTCAATACCTTTTCTTCAAGTTCAGTGTTTTCTTCATGGAGAAGCAGAAGAAAAAGATTTTTTTACAATGAATACTCTTCCTGAATAAATGATATATTAGATGATATTGTGAGGCCTGGAGTAATTTTGATGAAAAAAAAAAAAAGGCAGAAAATAAATGAGAAGATGCTGCTGAGTTCAAATTGCTTATCTCCTTTATCTTAAATGTTCAAGTTCTAGTTCTTTATCAAAACCACATATGTCTCGGGAACTGAGAAAATCAGGTTCTCAGTGCTATTACTGTAAATGTCTCTTTCTAAGCCTCATTCACTTTACCTTAGACCAAATGACTTTTGTTGTTGCAGAAAGGCATAGCTTTCCTTGGTGAGTGATAGCTTCTCTCAGGTTGTTTCAACTGCTTTAATCTCTCCACTTTCTTAGCTGCTTGGAGTTCCTTTATTCTTTTTATCTGGATGCTTGTTCCACGTCCAGTCTTGCTTGGTAACTGTAATCTGTAGTGGCCTTTCTATTAATAGGCTAAACCCAGATTTCACAAGTGTTCACAGATTTTTGAAAAATGACAATAGAAGTGTCTCACTGATAGACCAACACTGAATTTTGAAAGAGTACCAGCCGTACTATTATCATGCACCACAACAGAGCTAGATCACAAACTAATCTAGTCTCAGCCTGTCATGTGGATTGTAACCTGTGAAGTTTATAGGACCTAGCAAGTCATATCTTCTTGATCTAAGTGTCTTTATGCTTACATGAAGGAAAAACAATGCTAGCAAGGATCTGTAAACTACTGTAGAATATCATAATGTACTGCAAATAGAGCTATGTCTTACCTTGACTCAGAAGTTGGAGTACCTTGCTGGTAGCCATCATTCTGTGCTTAACAGTGACTGCTTGTTTGTTTTCTGGTGATAATGAACAAGTTGGTTTCAGTATTGAAAGCCTTGAGTGGCTCCAGACTTACCTACATAAAACCAGATCTCTCTTGATGTTTCTATTGGTCAGTAAAGAACAATTACTCTGAAAACCTTCTAGTGTACAATGGAGGCTGTTGTAAAAATATTTCCTTCATGATCTACTTTCTGAAGTGGTCCAAGATAATTCCAGTCGTTTGTCCCTTAAGGTATGCTGTGAGTCACACCTGTATACTTAGGCTTTTGGTCTGCTTTTGCTCTGTGTTGATTATGCTTTGAGGAAAGGTTCTTCTTAAAAAAGAAAGCAAATGTTTAGAATATCCACACATTTTTTACAACACCATGAAGGCTGAGTAGTGCTTGCATACTTCAGTGTGATTCTGCTGAAGGTGCAAGACAACTGCTGATTACATCGTCTTTTTGGTGTGAGTTGCATTTGGTGTTTTGTTTTTTTGGTGTGAATTGCACTGATACCTCAGTTTGTCTCCCTGACTATAGTCAGAAGTGGACTTGAATGAAACTTGTATGATGTTTTTTCTGCTCACTTGTATGCACATTTGTGGTTTCTCTTCTTGGGTGTCATTTTGGCCTTTACCCACCCACTTTGAGCATGCAATGGTTGACAGAGAAGCAACCTCTGGAAATTTAGTTTCCTCCTTACTGCTGGAAGTATGATATGTTTTCTTTGCAACAGCCTGTTTTCTTCAGGACTGTTGCATGAGACAACCTTAGCATGGGTATGGTAAGGCTGGCCCGCAGGGACAGTCTCCTAAGTTCCTTGAACTGCATGTTACTTCTGGAAATCATATCTGAGACATTTGAAAATGACACGAGCTCTCTGTGCTGCAGGAGGACAAGGTTAAAAGAGACTTCACAGTTCATCAAATAAAATTCAACCCAGCCTTGGAAGGTTCTTTTTCAAGCCTCCAGAGATCACAGGACTAGAGCCTAAGAGGTATAACAAGCACACTTTGGGGAACTTGCCTTTTACTTGAAGCTTTCCTTGTCCCCCACATCTTGTTAGTGAAACTCCTCCCCCTCTTGTTTTATACATTGACAGGAGTCCCAGAAAGGTCAATTGTTAAAGATTGTATATGTACATGCCATGTTGTGTTTATAAACTTTGCGAATTACCATCTCTTGTGTCACTTAAATGTCTGCGTTTTGAGGTAAGGTAGGTTTTATATCATTAATAAGATTGTTATTTAAGTGGACTGTTGTACCTATAATGTGTATGACTAGAAATGATGGCATTTGCCTTTTGCATGTGAACATAGGAATAAGTAAGAAGTAATGCTTGTCTCAGAAACTAACTGTAGCTATGGCAACAGATACACTCTGTATTTCATCTTTGACACGTAAGCAGCCATGTTAGAAAAGAAGTTATTTCAATAATGGCTTTTCAATAATTAATTGAACAAATTTTACAAGTCAAGAAGTACTGCCATAACATTAAGTTAATTTTGATACCCAACAGTGATTTTTCATGCAATTAAATACTTTTCTCAGGTTATAGTTAAAAAGCTGCCTGAGAAATATTTCCCACAGAGCCACTAACAAAACAGTTTGAAGTTTCTCAAGTGGAAATAGGATTCAGACTTTTTATAGCTGTCCTTGTTACCATTTTACATTCACAGTGTCTCTAGCAGGATAACAAATATTTCTAACTACATGTCCACAGGCAGAATGGTTTATAGCTGAATATTTATTTAACTGTACTTAAATGCTTACCTAATTCATAAACATTTGTGTTAGGGGTATGTGGTTCCTACAGGCACATTAGTGGAGTTTCTAATTTAGATTGTTTCTTGTTAATAATTCAAAATAGTGCCATCTTTCCAAAGCCTTAGGTATTGTCCTTGGCTGCTGCTTTGCTTATACCATACCTATCTGAAACTGTACATCCCTTCACCCTCTCGCAATATCAGCTGCTTGTGAAACTGCAGTAAGAAACGTGAGAAAGCACTTTGTGTCTTTACTTATAGTAGTTATAAAGAGCCCAGGCTGTGTGCTAATGATCTCAGTAATGACTGATGACTACAGAAGTTTTTGAGAAAGAAGATGCTGAAAGAAGCTAAATAGCAGAAGCTAAAGAAAATGCTAAATCAGACCACCAGCATTAAAACCTGACATTAGCAGCCTGGAATTTTCAGGTGAAATTCATACCTATCCAGAGGATCAGTATAGGATATACACATCAATTTACTCTTTTAAACATTATTTTAATAACTGCTAATTTTCAAATTAGCAATTAGGGATAACTGCAAATTAAAAGGAGACATAGATTCTGTACCATTTCACCATGAAGGGGTTAATTTTATCATTAAAGAAGCATGGAAAGAAAAGCATGCAGAGAAGCATGCAAAGAAAAGTAAAGTGAGCACAGATCTGGCTCAAATAGAGACTTTGGCAGCAATTCCAAAGCTAAATCCTTGATTGGCTACTTTCTTTGTACATGTACATTTTATTAGGTTTAACCTCAAATTTACGTACAAAATTGGCTTGTGCAGATCTGTGAAATTTGCACTAGAGCTCCTGAATGGCTTCTCTAGATGCGTCATCCTTCCTCTTTATTATCCTCTCTGTAAAATGGAGTTCCATTTTATATGCTGGACATGCTTTATGATGAGTGTGGTGGAATAAGGATATTCTTCTTTACATGTGTGCCCAGACAGTCTGCAAAGGCCTGAAGGCACTAGGAATGTGATTTCTCACCTCATGAAGGATTACACAAAACTGATTCTTCAAGCACCTTGTCCCCAGTGAATCTTCTATAATAAACAGTGTTTTCATCTGAAGGGATTCACCACTGTAGAGGAAGAATTTAATATATTCTGTTTTTCTGAAGACATAATTTTGCCTCCTCTTTCACTACAAAACCCCTGAGCTAAATATTTGTTTATGTTTGTGAACATGGTATGTTTGTGATGCTGGTAGGGCAGATTTAGATTCTGTTCAAATGTTTTGTTATGACAGAAAATTGCATTTATATTTTAAATTTACTATTTCAAAAATAAACATTACAGACAAAATTTTCCATCCTGACCTACCCAGCAGCTCTCAACTCCAATAGTCTGTTCTTCCTGCATGAAGGAAACTCCCATTGATGTGTGGATCTGAGAGGAGAATTTTGCCCTAAGGGCTCAATTTTGCTCTGAGATTGACATATGCATATCATCAAAAATAGAATAATCTATGCATTTGAGGAGCTATCAGCAGCTCCCATGCAATGCTGTTGCTCTAGGAGATTTCTGACATCCTACTAAAATGTGTGATAGGGTGAGACATTTCCTAGGTCTAATGTTTAAGCTAACAAACCCTCCCCCAAGCAGATGAGATTGAAGCAAAAAAATGATCTTTCTTTGTTGCTGTAATTATTCATATTATGACATCTCAGGCAAATTTAACAAACGCTTTTTGTTCTATATCACTTCCTTGAGTATCTCTCATTCTTGGGCCTTCTCAGGCAGGTACTCAGAATCTGTCTGGCTTCATGTGATTTTTCACTTCCTTTGACATTTGTCTGATAGCCAGCTGCAAAATATGGCCTTTTCCTAGAGGAATGAGTGGGTTACATTGGTTGTAAGAATTACACTTTCATTGAGGCTGGAATAGTACTTCAGTGTCTTATTGCTTATTGGTGTTCATAAATCTAGAAGAAGTTATCTGAGGAGAAAAAATCATCACCTCATCTCCTTGCACAGCAAGCCTCTGTGTTTTTTTTTTTTCCACGTGTTTTCCTTCAGATTTTCCTGCTGTCCTAAATAATATGACCACCTACCTCTGGTGAGCACAAGTTTGGATAGAAATCATTAGTAATTTGCATTGATTTCCCTCACCACTTCTGGTCTCACCTTTCCTTTCCCATTTGTGCTTGTGGTGAAGTTCTCATCTCAGCTACAATGCATTTCAGGTAGCATTAGCCACCTAGCAAGCAAGTTCTTAGTCCAAAAATAAGGTCTATGCTTCTTCTAGAGGAAGACACTATTGAGCAGTTTCCAGCACTGCCTACTGTGTCCCCTGCACTTTCCCTACGTCACACATTTCCTCTAAGGACATCAAAAGGGTTCTTCAGAGCAATTGGTTAAAAAACTTTTAAAGTAAATGGGATGGCTTGTAGCTCACAAGAACTGTGATGATATGAATATTCCATTAGTTTTTTTAGCAAAGGTCAAATGACCACAGTTTGGGAATGCTGATTTATGTAAACAATAGCATACTTCATCCCTGGGGATTGGTTATACAGCTTGGACTGGGATAGAGCTACTTCAGTGCCCAAAACTCCCACTAAAGGGAATGGAGGTCTAGTTAATTCAGTCACTGGAGTCTAGAGCAGATGCTTTGGAGCTGACTCATTTACAAAGGGGATATGTTCTAGGTTGACTGAGATCTCAAAGTGGAGACATCAGTTTTGATGTAATATATATGAGGGGCCTTCTGGAAAGGAAACTGGCAGCTTGAAGGGTATATTAGAGTCCCTGAAATGGCAGCTGACTGAGCCATGGATCTTCCCATTGAGTAGATTGACACCTTATTCTTTTGTAGGTGTCTACATTGTTAACACCTAAGTTTAGGTATCTACATTTTGAATGAAATCCCCACTCCAGACTCACTAGTTCCTGTGCCATAACTAATTCCTGTGCCATAACTAATTCCTGGAACTTGGTCACATTGACTATGACATATGGTATAAGATTGATCTAACAAATTCAGTGGCATTCCTTCTTATTTTGTATCTGATGTTTTTCAACAGCATAGATACTTTAATAAAACAAATAGCTTATCTCATGAATACTGATAATGATTTGTTCTGATTTGGATGTTTATATTAATCTATGTTTTTGGAAAAAGTCTCTTTTAAAAAGTATGAATATTTGCAGTCAATGAACCAAAGTGATTCCAAATGTCATAAAAATATATTTCTAGCTGCTACTTGAACCTATGTTCAGGGACCTGTCACTCTATGGCTGCACCTTTCCTCACTGCTCTAGTGATTCTTAGTTGCTGCTTGGAGCTACAATGTAACTTCTCCATGGTCTCACATTTCCTTAAGCTTGAGCCAGAAACTACCACTGCAAACCTTTCAGCTTCAAAATGTTTCACAAACATTTAAACTAATCACAGCAATATCCTTCTGTAGGAAATACAACACATTTTACATGTGAAGAAACCAAGAGAGAGAGATAAAATAGTATCCTGAGAGACCACATCAAATCCTTAATCTCTTTGGGTCACTAAGCATGCTGCCAGGCAATATGGAAATGTATGAGCTGTAAAGCAATTTGTAGGGTTCTCAAAATCCATGCCTATCTGAGGCAGTGGTTGTGACTAACTCTTACAGTATGACAACTGTGGGTATGGTTGATGATGCTCTTATGCTGTACAGGGGGACAGCTGTGATGGTAGGACACTGGCAAAACAATGGCTGATTGTCATACTCCTCACATCAGCCTCCTACAGTGAAAAGCATATGTCTGAAGGTCATACACAAAACATTGATTTTTTGAAATAATACCTCAAGCTCAACACATCAGCATTATGCAGCTGAAATATGATTTGGTTCCTTGAAATGGCATAAATGTCAGACTGCACTTGTTTCTGTATCAGAGATGCCTTAAACCTACAGAAATAAATGTAACCCTCTGAAGGTGAAAATTCCACCTCCTGAAGCTGATAAGGCCAGTATTTGTCATACTCCTGATAGACACAAGACGACACTGGTACTAGAAAGAAAAGTTATTTTATACATTTATAGAAATTCAATTCCTATAAGAAAGGACCGCCCCCCAAATATTAAAGCATACATTTGAATCTCTGAGGCAGCAAAACTCTGCACTGAGAGATCCATCAGGCTGAGAAAAAAACCTAAAACAAAATAAAGCACAAAAATCCAGAGTCTTTCCTTACAGTTTATGTGATGCAGCTGAGTGCATCTGTAGTGGGCACTCCAGAAATCACTTTTCATTAAATCATACTTTTCCTGCCTTTATTTTTTTCCATATGTCATAAGCCAATATTGCTTTTCTATTCTGGTCAGATGAGCCAAGTATCTTATTCTACTGGCAGATGAGACCTCAGGCTGCATCTTGTCTTCCATCATAATGGAATCCACTGTACAGGAGCACTTGAGGTGGCACCGCTTGGTAATATTTGTTTTACTATACAAAGGTAATAGGCTGATGCTTCCCAGAATTGCTGGGCTGGCTAAGGCTCTGGTAAACCCTGTATGTGCCTCAAGGAAAACCGTACACGCTTCACAGGGGTCCAGGAAAGTAGGTGAGTGAGGGTAGACTACCATGATCAGAAAAATGGCTAATGCTTATAAGAATCTTGTTGCTTGAGGACCATTCCCTGTTCACTTGTCATTAATAAGGAGCGAGCAAAGTTGAATGAATTGTCTAGCAAGGTTTTTGAGCTGCGTATCCCTTTCATAAACCTGGGGCTTAGCTGGAACTTTCTGAAGCACTTGTGAATTGGAGTAGAGCCTTTGACTGTCAGCTTCTGAAGTCTCTTTTTTTAGGTCAGATTGCTAGCTGCAGACCACCAACATGTTTATATATGGCTTAAATCACATATTGTGATTCACCATGGAGACCTCATAGCAGCCTTCCAGTATCTGAAGGGGGCCTATAGGGATGCTGGGGAGGGACTCTTCATTAGGGACTGTAATGATAGGACAAGGGGTAATGGGTTCAGACTTAAACAGGGGAAGTTTAGATTGGATATAAGGAGGAAATTCTTTCCTGTTCGGGTGGTGAGGCACTGGAATCGGTTGCCCAGGGAAGTTGTGAATGCTCCATCCCTGGCGGTGTTCAAGGCCAGGTTGGACGAGGCCTTGGGTGATATGGTTTAGAGAGAGGTATCCCTGCCCATGGCAGGAGGGTTGGAACTTCATGATCTTAAGGTCCTTTCCAACCCCAACTATTCTATGATTCTATGTTCACTAACACAACTTGTTACCTTGAATCCTGCTTTAGTTCTGGATTTTGTCTCTTTACTAACTGGGGTATGAATGTGATGTGACTCAAGGAGAGACAATTTAGCCAATGGAGGCAAAAGTCCACCTGTGGTCCTCAGGTCTGCCATATGCCTCTCTCATTCCAGGACACGGCATGGTCTGTGGGCTAGCCTCATTAAGACTACTACTCTCTTGCTGGTGCTAACACATCTATGGTGATGTTCAGAAAAAAAATCCCAACACTGAGAGCAGAAAAGAGACCTAATACTATTTTTTCAGGTATTGTTTCAGTACTGGAAGGATGATTATCTTTCCTTGTTATGTCATATATTTTGAATTTTAAGGTAACCTGATCTGAGAGTGAGACAGCTTTTCCCTCCTGATAGAAATTCTGCTTTCCAAGCCTTAAAGATAATAAAACTTGCAATGCTGATATTCATTTATCTTATTTGCCAACATTAGGAAGTGTAATTCTATTTCTTTTTTCAAATCTCTTTTCAGCAAGCTTTTTTTCTCACCATCCCTTCTCTTTCTCTTTCTGGTTTACCTTCTCTCTTGGGGCTCAACCTTGTCAATGCTCTAGTTCATTCACATTTCAGATTGCTGGTCAAGGTAATGTGCTTAGGATTACAAAATGTTGATGGGTGGCCAAATGAAGCGGTAATGCTGTAGACCTCCTAATCTAGTGTATTTAATTAGAAATTTCTTAGGAACCCTCAATCCTTTAAATCCTTTCTTGAGTGAAAGCTATAGGTAGACACAGTATCCTGTTTTCTTTAAGAACAGCAGCTAGGGTAGGGAAAGCGCTTGGTATTGGTCATAACCAGCCCCAGGAATTCAGGCTCATCTGAGGGAGGGTTGCTCAATGAACTGCGCAGGCACATATCTCTGTATGTGAATTTGATCACAGGACTTTTGGCTAGTCAGTGTTATCTATATATTACAATTACCAAATTTGTCAGTCAGGAATAATTTGTAACTTGTAGGTATTTTTAGAAGAATGGACCCCCCAGACCATGTTGTTGAGGATATTGCATTATGGAAACAGAAGGATTAAATGATAACAGTGTCATTATTTCTAAATTGCTGAACTTTCATTCTCCTCTAAAGCTAGTAAGAAGAATGGTAGTAATCTGATTATAAGGACTCCCTTTCCTTTCACAGGGCTTCCCATAGCATATAGCTCGAAGTCTAGTCTTTCAAAAATTCATTTAAAGCCAAACTCTGAGAAAACTTTCAGAGTCAAAGCAATTGACAAAACTATAAACTTCTTTTTTTGGAAAACTATAAACTTAATTTTTGGTGTCTCTAGAGTTTAGCTCCAAACTCTTTGGAAGCTTTCTTAATAATCAGGAAAGGAACACAAATTATTCTTGTATTTGAACTGCTTCTAGTAAATTAGAAAATCTCTGTTGTAATCCTGTTTTCACTCAGTCACATTTTCTTTAAAATAGTCCATTGGCAGTAAAAATTGCGTGTCATCTCAGTTTCATGACCAATAGGTTTTGAAAAGAAAACTGACATTTGGAAGATTTGTTCAGTCATTTTGCAGTTGCGCATGTGTGAGCAGCCAGTAAACTTTTCTAGTTAAGAAATAAGATTGTGAGCAAGCTTTTATGACTGAAATGGTATTAAATATACAGTTATATCTCCAGCTGTTGTAACCACAATGTACCTTGAATGATGTCAGTAAAACCACTCTCTTTTGGTTTTGTTAAGGACACAATGACCTATGCAGGTCCAACTTGAAACAATAAAGTTTTTCACTAACTCAGGAGAATCTTGCCAAAATCAAAAGGGAAAAAAATCATTAATATTTTTAAGCTGTGAGGGTTTAAAGTAATGGATTTGCTCAGGGTTGGGAGGAAAAATTTAATCTGGCTTCTTGTTTTGGATTAAGAAAAGTGCTTCCAGAGCCCTGAGTCTGAGTGAAGGTTGGCCTCACATTGATCTGTAATAGCAGCACTTCTCTTGGAATCTGTAGCTCTGCAGAGATTATGAGAACATGGAATTTGGAGAAGGAAAGTTTGGCTATGTTAGAGAATAGTTTATTTCCCTGCAAGATTTGAATATTCCATAAACAGACTATAGACCAGAATTTATGTGTAAATCCCACTGAATTTACACAGTGGGGAGACCAAAACTGTAGTAGCAGTTATTTTAAAAGCCTATGAATTGTGAAAATAGATGAAAACTTTTCTATACATTTTTGCACTGTCCTATAGCATGCTATTGCTGGATTGTAAGGATTTTAGTCAAACCATGGTTTTCTGAGAACCTGGAAAAAATTATTATGATGATATTAATTCACTGGGTCTTTCCATAAAGGTGTTACTATCCTAGTCTAACCTCAGGTTCAGCTTTGGCTTGCTAAATGCCTTAACAAAATCTGATATTACATCCTACCTCCTGGCAGGAGCTCATGGCCTGATGGTGTATGTTTATCTAGAGAGACAGCTTTGTTTATGTGGTTGGGAGACAAAGAAACAACAGCTTGCAACATTACTAACTGGGTCAGCTCTTGCAGCAGCTTCAGGTTTTTCATGAGCTTTCAGATGTGTCTATGCATGATGTTCATATGGAAGATCTTTCATTATCACCTGGCATATCACTGAGGTGAACAACACATTCAAACTCTGCCTTTCTGCATTAAAAAAAAAAACATAAGAGGTAACATTTTTTTATTTATATGCCCCCCCCCCTCCCCCCCCCCTTCTGGCTCTGCTTAAAGCTGTGTTTTGTTAGGTTTTCCAGATGACGCCCTTCTGTCTTCTGGCAATTCTAACCACATGGAATTCAAAGACTGCCTTTATTTATAATGGATTTTCAGACATTTGACAACCTGCTTGGGCCTAGAGTGTAGTTTAAGCCTTGCTCATCATGTTCAGAGATCTGTCATACTGAGCAAGGATGAGAGAGTCTTAGAAACAGCAAGCCTGGGATTTCCATGGAGGGTATAATAAAGATGTAGCCAAGGACAAGCAGAGGGAAATATTTTCCCACCTTGATGTATCTGTTATGGTATTTGCCTGCTTCTCTTTTATACCGAAGGTGTGAGTTTGTTTGCTTTTTTTATTTATTACTGTACCACTGATCTTGGACCAGATGTGCTAAGTCCTGCGGATCTTGAGAACAACAGATTTACTGGATGTGTGCAGACCATCTGTGCCCTGCATGTTTAACAAGTCCAGTCCTTCCAAGAACTGCTAGATTTACTGAACTTGTGCTATGTGGCTTGGACACCTAGGAAATGATGAGAGGAATTGCCTAGTCCTAGTTCTTCTGAGGATTAGAAAGAAGAGAAATATCTTCCACTGTAGGAAAATTGAACTTCAAGAAGGAGTGCTTCTGCATTCAGGATATTTATTCTGTGGGCTTTGGACAGAAGACAGATTCAGTGACCACGGGAAACCTTAGTATCTGAGAGAGAAATCTGCTTAACCGTTAATATGGCTTCAGGCTCTATAATTCCTCGAGACAGCAAAACAACCTCTGTTGTTTTAAAAACTCCTTCAAGGTGTCATCCTTATCAGCATGGCACTTGTGAACCATTGTGCCAGCAAGCCATGGGGTGTGGGATTGGGTCTGCAGCCCTTACAGGCTAAGGACCCTGGACGATCAGTCTGGTTAAGGACCATGGAGCTGGTGCAGATACACAGTGATGGGAAATGGGCAAGCTACTAGGTCAAGAGGAGGTAACCGATCATGCTAAGAATAAAAAGGAAAGAAGAAATTGTCTCGAGTGGAAGAATGAAGCAATGAAAAGTTTCTCTGCAGAGAAAACTCCGGATGTGTGTAAGATAACAGTAGAAGATCTGAATGACCCCATACTCTTTATCTGCTTTCAAAAGGGAAAACAGAAAGTAATAGCTCTGTCTGAAAATAGGTGGTACTGAAGTCCTGACAGGTTTCTTTGGTTTCCAGTTACTTAGGCAGTCAGAATTAACTGTGAAAATGTTCAGGAGTATTTTGCTCTGAAATAATGAAATAGAAGGGGTTTTTTTTTTTTTTGTTTGTTTTTTTTTTTTTTTTTAAGGAGAGTGTATTAACAAAGAAGGTGAAATCCATAACAGTCAAAGTCTCTGTGACTGAAGAGAAAACTGCAATTTATATGGAGCAAGACCCTGTTTACAGAAGAGGCTGTGACTGGGATATGGAACAAATAATTGGAACACCAAGACTTAACTCCTGACAAAGTAGTTAGAGTTTGTCAAACTAACCAGTTTCTCAGTCCAGAAAGAAAGTGAGGACTTAGCTGATAATCCAAAAGAGTACAAAGAAAGATGCTTGAGGAAGTTATAATTGGAGTCCTACAAGAGCAGCATCTGGACCTGCAGATGGTGTGGAAAATAATGCAAGCCATAAAGTGGAAAAAGGTATGCAATAGATTACATCACTGTGAAATAGTTTGTAAGAAGCAGCATACAGGAGATCAATGACAGCACCATTTGCTCTGGGGGATTCTTCATAAGAGCAATTCATCAGAAGATGAATGGACTATCACCCTGAAAGCAAGTAAGACATTTATTCATTTTAAATTGGATACTGGCGCACATGATGGTGTGTTGATTGAAATAATGTTATCCTCC